GGCCTCTGGATGTCTGGAGTCTTGATCTCCTCCATACCTGCTTCATGTCCTGGAGGACGGGGCTGTTGCTCCCCCACACCCTCTAGCAGATCATTACATGAAGGAACCTTTTAAATACGAGCGCGTCCATGCTCACAGGTGTACACACGGGGACTCACACACACAAACTACACCCTTTTTGGCTCCTACCTCAAACCACACTGTGCGCTGTCGATCTTACGTGCTGCACAATAATGTTTAATATTTAGTATTTACTGTTACACTCCCATAGATCATCGTGATGTTGTTTTTTTATGTTGCTCGTTTTGTTCTTTCTTCTGCTTGTTTTCTCTTTTTTCTTTTTCAACAGGTGATCCAGGAGATTGATATATGTATTTTTTTGTCTGCTTATTTTGTTTCTATTTTGTTTTTTGCCCTTTATCCCCGTCCCTCTTCCCCGTTGTTTTTCTTTCCCTCTTTCTTTCTCCCCTTTCTTTTCCCCAGTCAAGTCTGTCCCGTATTAAACAAGTAAAAATAAAATAAAATGAACAATAAAAGGTGAATCAAATACACCATTACTGGGATGGTCCATTTAGTAAAGTAAATCCGTTGGGCATCTTTCTTCGCCTTTAGACAATAATTCTGATGGCAAAAGAGCCAAACGGGACAGGCAAAAAAAAAAAGAAAAAGAAGAAGGATCTAAAACTTGGAGATATAGTCATTATAATGGATTCTTCTGCACCATGTGTTTCCTGGCCACTTGGAAGAGTTCTGGAAACCATTCATGACAAAAATGGACTTGTACAATCTGTACTTTTAAAAACAAAAACTAACATTCTTGAAAGACCTGTAACTAAACTTTACCTGTTACATTAGACATTGGTATAAAAGTGTATTTAAATGCTCTGTTTGCTTTTGGTTATTTATGTGACTTTATATGTCTAAAGTAGACTGTGTGAGTGGCTCCTTATTTTCTTTGTGATTAGAATTGCCATGTCTGACAGCCATTACAATTAGTGGTTGGGGCGTAGGAGCCATTTTTGGGTTAATAACATATGTGGCCACCAGAGGTCACCTTTTTCTGTTTTGGTATGGTTTGTTCATGTAAAGGTATTTAAGGTAGACACACTTAGTCGGCATCAGGTGTGTCCTTAATTGTAAGAAGGCAAACAGTTTGTGACCGGCAGTGTTGGGTAAGTTACTTTAAAAAAGTAATTAATTACTAATTACTTAGTCAGTACTCTACAGTACGCAGAGGTAGCATCTCTTCCACAATGTTGCCTGCAATCATTTTTTTAAGCTCACCTTCAGACGTTTTCTGTGCTGCTGAAGTAAAATCCAGCTTTGCCTGCTTAGCAGGAGTTGCCATGGTGTTATCCATGGATGATGAACAAGAAGTGTTCGTCTATGCTCTCATGTCATGCGCTTCATTAGATTACTCATGCTATTAACAGCTGCTGATAGTTTTTTCTCGCCAAGACATATAGCTTACATATTACTGTAATATTCTTGTCTGCTTGTTTCAGAAAAGTGAAGAGACGGGAATATGTCCATTTCATAAAACAGCCACTCGCTTCAGCCGAGTCCGACATCGTCCGCTTTAGAATACAACTATGCAGCAAACTGGTGCGAAATGACACGCACCTACACTACAGCGATGTTAAAGCGGCAGAGTTTACTTCTATGTTTAGAAGACAAATTATTGAAATTAAATAACAATATTCAGCGAGTTTAATTATTTTACAATGTAACGCAAGTACATTGAACAGTAATTAGTTACTCTATTTTTTCAGTGGAAAAGTAATTTAATTACAGTAACGCGTTACTTAGTAACGCATTACACCCAACACTGGTGACCGCTGCGCTGTTATGTTAAGATGATATTGGAATAAAGACCAAAAAGGAAGAGATAAGTACTGCTGGAGCTATTGGACTGTTTAATTAATTCATGCATACCAGGGACGTCACCCCCGTTAACGACCACCTCAGTGGCTTCAAGCGTAGGCTTTGCCTCTACAATTATTCCTGTTAAATATTAAACTCCACTGAGACAGCTGGTGACACAAATCTGAAGGCTAGACTGTCCCAGTTTCCAGCCTCGCATTTCCAGCCTTCTCAGTCTTCGAAGGATCCTGCCCACATAGACCGCGAAGGCTGGTTCCTCTGAACAATGCGGCTTATGTTTTGGGATACACAATTCATAGCGCGGCGGTGGGTGTGGATAATTTTTCCGCAAAATGCGGCAGAAGGGAGCGGCCGAAGAGTGAACTTCGCATTTATTCATGTGCAAATGTTTAATAATGAAGAACATTAAAACATTACTGTTGGCCACATGTGAGCAAAGTTATGAGACATTAGTGATGTTTGTGCTAGAGATGGCACGATACTACTTTTTTATGTCCGATACTAATATCTTAAATTTGGATATCTGCCGATACAGATATGAATCCGATGTAGTGTGTCTTTTAATTAATAAAATAGTTTTTTAATATCTTGGTGCATTTTGTATAAGTTCATACTCAAGTTTAAATAAACAACAACACTAAAGCTATTCTGTTATACCTGTATGTAAAAAATACACTGCACCCAAAATATTTCATAGTTCAGCAACAGTGATCAATCTAATAAACTTAAACCTGCTCCATCTGTTGGGTCTGTCTAGCACAGGCCCACCGCTGGAACGAGACAATTTAACTACACAGCAAAAGCACCGAACACCAAGTAAGCAAAGTTCTTTGTGTTACTCATGCATGAGGGAGACCGGAGCCAGATGTCGTTCCGCCCACTTGACCTCTGTCAGACTCTCAGCCAGGTTCCCCATAGCACTAATTTTATTGTGGTTAGATGAATATGCATAGGTTCATCAACATATGACGTCTACATACACACAAAGAGTACCTTGCCCTTTGCGTTGTGCAAGTGTGTGTGTGTGTGGGGGGGGGGGGGGGGGGGGGGGGGGGGGGGGTCAGTTATAGTGTGACCCCATAAACGACTTTCCCTAAACCTGCTGGCCTGGAAGTCCAGCAGTTCATCTAAAAACCATGGCATTAATTATACAACTATAAGCATACAATCAGTAGATATTTCTAAGCATAAATGACAATCAACAATACAAATCTAACACCATCCTTCCTATTCTGGTACGAATAGGGTTGCAAACTCCAAGCAAAAGAAAGAAAATAGGGAACCAGCCCCCACCCTCCACCTCGTGATGCTTAATCAATGTAATCAACTTTAATTTGATGCAGTGTGAAAAAAATGCACATAAATAAATTATTTTTGAACGATAATTAAATAGATTCAGCATCTTTCTTCAACAGAATTGCAGACTGCACAGATGGTACCTTCCCAAAGGAAATAGTACTATAACTTACTAGGGTATATTAGACTTAACAGTTACTATTTACAGTATTGGACTTCTATACATTTTACATCAGATTAAAACTTTGGGTGTAAGATTTAGATAATTATTTATTAAAAGCTAGACATTTTAAAACAGAATAAAAAAGAAAATTATGCCTTTGTGCCCCCCTTTTCCCTGTTAATGCCCTATCGGCCCCCCTGGCTAAGCTTACCAGCCGTCAGTTACGTAGAAAAAGATCCTGGTCTAGAAAGTAATATTAAATAAATTCTAACAACAGCTTATCAAGCTTAAACGTGCTGCTGTTGTTCAGCCGCTGGTTTCCTCTTTCTGGCGCAAAGTGGGCCAAAAACAAAGATAGAAGGACTCGCGACAGAAAAGCCGAAAAGCTGATCATTGATCAGTTTCACGATGGAATTAGCAGCAGGAGAGGGAGGGAGAAGAGGCACTTGCTCCATACATCAGTTGTTAAGCTTAACACGGGAATGCTTTACAAACATTCAGAGATGAACTTACTCACTTGCTTTACTTCTCTCTGGGATAACTTCCTCGGAGATGAAATGCCGCATTGCTAGCGAGGCCACAAATACACACAGCCGCTCTGTCACGAGAGCACACTGCTGTGTGGCCGGCATAGTGTACAGGAACATCTGTGCCGAGTATAACCTGGAAGTCCCGAGGTCAAAATGGGAGATGCCCCCAAGGGTGGTGGAGAGTGACCGAGCTAAGATCCTGTGGGACTTCCAGATACAGACGGACAAAATGGTGGTGGCTAACCAACCGGACATAGTGGTGGTAGACAAACATTAGAAGACGGCCGTAGTGATCGATGTAGCGGTTCCAAATGACAGCAATATCAGGAAGAAGGAACACGAGAAGCTGGAGAAATACCAAGGGCTCAGAGAAGAGCTCGAGAGGATGTGGAGGGTGAAGGTAACAGTGGTCCCCGTGGTAATCGGAGCACTAGGTGCGGTGACTCCCAAGCTAGGCGAGTGGCTCCAGCAGATCCTGGGAATAACATCGGAGATCTCTGTCCAGAAGAGCGCAGTCCTGGGAACAGCTAAGATACTGCAGGACCCTCAAGCTCCCAGGCCTAGAGGACCCGATATATATATATGTATAATTGTTATTTACTAACTAATCTTGAAATGACTGTTCAGTACAGAAATAAAGCCCAACAATCATGTTTTTACAGTCTCGTGGTCTCAGCCTCAGATACTCAACTAATCAAAGTGATGTCATGACAAAAATGAATGACAAACAAAAAAAAATTTCTCCTTCATTTCTGTCAAACAAAGCTGTATCATCATCATAGTATCATGGTTGCTAGGCAACCTGAACGGCCCGACGAAGGCTAGACCGTCCCATTTCACAAGCCTCTCACTTCCGCGCACCGTACGTAGTACACGTAGTGCGCGTATTTCAAGCGTACGGTCTCTTAATTGGGATACAGCCATTGATACGGAGAGACTAGTGTAAGGCTGTTCCAATTCTCAGCACCGCTCTTCTCTTTTCCTGTGTCCTTAGCAATTCTCCTTCCCATGATGACGTTTTCAACGAGGCCCAGGAAAAGAACCGAGGAAAAGGAAAGAGGAGGTACTTTTGGAAAACACCCCACCTACTCACGATGTGTAGCGCAGTCACGTGACCACACAGTAACAAACCACAGCAGAGTCGGAAGAGTGGGGCGGAGCAAATGTGTGCAGGACGGGAGTCGAGCAGAGAGAGCTGCTTTGTCATGAAACGGGAGTAAAGTAGTGAACTTAGAGGAGAGAAACAAACTAAAGCATCGATCATAAACCACTACCAACGTCCTGATCGATATCTGCATCGATCTGCCCACCCTTGTCTCCTGGATCGTAGCTGCGATCAGCGTGAACCACGTGGGTCTCTGCTCCCTGATCTGTTTCCTGTGTTTGGAAAGAGTTGCAGCTTCATCGCGGAGTTTCTCTCGGTTTGTGGGCTCATCTAAAGGTAAGCACCGAGCTAACTTTACTGTGAGTTCAGTTCATGTTGAGTTTAGCTCCTGAATGAGGTCTTCTGCTGCTCTCCTCGGTGTCTGTTCACAGTTTATTGTGAACACGTTGAGAGAAGAGTGAGAGAGTGTTTGGAGAAAAACACCAACTAATCATTAGCTCAGCATGCTGGGAGAAGTTGGAGCAGAAAAGGCTTTTCATTGTCCCTGCAGCTGTTTTTCTGCCTGCACCAAACCTCTACAGCCTCATTTCTATTTGAAGTGATAACAGGAAGTCAGAGCGATCTGCTGCAGTATCAGGGTCACAATAAACTTTATTGTCCAGCTGTATGGGCTCAAAATGTGGTCATAAATATTTTGTACTTGTAAAAAAGATTTGTATGTGTAAAAAAGATTTGTGTGTGGACTTAGGGAAAAAAAACCCTCCAAGTTACAAGTACGGATTTTGACCCTATTTTTCTTCCTTTCATCTGATTGGTCAATGTCATGTCAATCACAAATGTAACAATCCAATCAGAGAACAGATGGGTTTGGCTGTCGGAGGGGCGCTTTTTTGAACTGCAGGTCCTTGAAGGGTGATACAGTTTGAAGCTGGAGGATCGCTATATAAATATCGATAGCAGCTAGGTCCCCTAACTTTCAGTAGCTGTTGAAAGGAAAAAGTTGTGGTATGTCAGTGGTTAGAAATACCATTATTACTTTAGGATTAGTTTAACACAAAGTCAGGGCTGACCCGGGACCATTGCTGCTCACATCGGACGCAGGATGTGCTGCTAATGCTAACTGCTAACTAAAAGCAAAGGATCCAGAATTTGTTACGCTGGCTGCTGGGCTCTGTGGGTTTTTGCAGCAGCTCTACCTGTACTAGATGCACCTGCTCCTTGTCTTTTCTATCTCTGACTTTATGTCCTCTACAAGAGTTTGTTTTTTTTGCTGGTTCTTCAAATGTTCAATAAAAACATGTATGCTAATTCATAACGAAGAAAGCTTTGTAATGAAGACTGTCATTTCCAAAACACTGCCCGCCCCCAACCCGCGGTCCGCAGCGCTGTTGAAAAGGCTGTGGAAGTCCCTGTATTAAACACGTAGACCTGTGACACAAAAATCACCAAACTCGGACGACCACAGACTGTTTTCCTTCGTGGTGATGAAGGAAAACGCTGGGTTGGCATGTAAAAGGGCATTTATTCCCTTCAAAGACCTGCAGTTCAAAAAAAGCGCCCCTCGACAGCCAAACCCATCTGTTCTCTGATTGGATTGTTACATTTGTGATTGACATGGCATTGACCAATCAGATGAAAGGAAGAAAAATAGGGTCAAAATCCGTACTTGTAACTTGCAGGGTTTTTTTTCTAAGTCCACACACAAATCTTTTTTACACACACAAATCTTTTTTACGCACACACAAATCTTTTTTACACACACAAATCTTTTTTACAAGTACAAAATATTTATGACCACATTTTGAGCCCATACAGCTGCTGTGGATGAACACATGAGAGGAAGTGAACTCCTACAAAGTCTCATTTTAATGAGTCTGGCTGCTGTAAAGTGATGCACAGGAAGATGTTAACAAAACTAATGAAACAGAGATGAAAGTTCATATTTGAAAGCGCTGTGAATTAAAATATAATGTGGTGGTTAATGTGCAGCTCTTGGTGAGTTGGGAGAAGAAGAATGTTTTTAATCCTGTTGGGTATTGTTAGGATTTAAATATATATATTCTTAGCTGTGAACCAGAGCTGGTCATTATTCTAACTCACCCTGGTGTGTGATGCTGTGCAGCTTCCTCACAGAAGCTGATGTCACAGCATCTCTATAATAATCCAAATTGTTGTTAACAATCCTGAAAACCTGCCAGTCGGTGCAGTCCAGACACACCTGCAGATTCTCCACAGCCTCATCAGTCCACTGCTTCAGTGTCTTTACAAAAGCTTAAGACAGTTTCAGTTTGTGCCTGTTTGCAGGGATCAAGTGAACCGTGACATGGTCTGAGAATCTTGATGTAGTGTCAGATGATGACCCTCTTACTATCAGCTCACCTTCTGTTTTGTAGAGTATTTTTCTTTTCCCTTTTTTAAAATAAAATCTATGAGGTTCAAATGAAGCACCAAACTTCTTTTACTCAATCAGTGGAGGTTCATTAGTGCCTTTTCTCACCACTGTTTTTAACTAGAGGCTGTTACGAAATAAATATATATCCTTAGTCCTTATTTTCTGATTATATGGTTTTTTGTGCTTTGTAATAAAGTCTGTGAGAAAGAACGAGGTTAGAGGGTGACAGGTTGCCTAGCAACAGAGGCTTCAGTAAGGGGACGTTAAGAAACAAGAAGTATAGAGCTGCTGCACCATATTAATAAAACACAGGAAACTAGATGGAAAAAGCGTGTGTTAGTGTGACAGGCCTCCGTTTCCGGAAATGTAAAATGAATATCTTTATTTTTTTTTTAGCTTGACTACTCTGAGTCCAGTCTTTCTCTGTCGCCAAAAGAATTCAAAAGAACGGAATTTAATAAGGCTGACACATTGACTGAAGACATTTAGTTTGAGTGGATTTGAGCTTTCCATCTCAGCTTCGTTTGGTCAAGGATGAAATACATATAAATATATTTTTGTTCCAGCTGATCATCAGGAGGAGACGAGCCATTTAGACTCAGCTCAGCCACTACAGAGGAAACAATGACTTCAACCCAAAAGGTGAGCAAGAATATCTGTTATTGAACCTGTGTGCAGGTTACAACTCTCATTGTAGCTCATAATTGTAATGTCATACTATCACTAGAAGGTGGTGGTAACACACCTACAATGTGATTGTTGACATCTTTGATTCCACTAATGGAGTCAGTTTCAGTTTGTTCCACGACTGCATTTCACTCACTGCCTCTGTTTGTATCTCTGTCACTGCAGGACCAACACGGAGCGAGAAGTCAGCGCTCTCAGGAGGCCGACAAACCTCACAGAAGAAAGGGGCAGAAAAAATACAGCTGTGACGAGTGTGGGAAGAATTTTACCCACGCTGGAAGCTTAAAAACACACCAACTCATCCACAGTGGCGTTAAAGCATACATCTGTGACTTGTGTGGAAAATCTTTTACCTGGGCTGGAAGCTTAAAAACACACCAACTCATCCACAGTGGCGTTAAAGCATACATCTGTGACTTGTGTGGAAAATCTTTTACCTGGGCTGGAAGCTTAAAAACACACCAACTCATCCACAGTGGCGTTAAAGCATACATCTGTGACTTGTGTGGAAAATCTTTTACCCAGGCTGGAAGCTTAAAAACACACCAACTCATCCACAGTGGCGTTAAAGCTTACACCTGTGACTTGTGTGGAAAATCTTTTACCCAGGCTGGACGTTTAAAAAGACACCAACTCATCCACAGTGGAGTTAAAGCATACACCTGTGACTTGTGTGGAAAATCTTTTACCCAGGCTGGAAGCTTAAAAAGACACCAACTCAGCCACAGTGGAGTTAAAGCATACACCTGTGACTTGTGTGGAAAATCTTTTACCTCGGCTGGAAGCTTAAAAAGACACCAACTCATCCACAGTGGAGTTAAAGCATACACCTGTGACTTTTGTGGAAAATCTTTTACCCAGGCTGTTAACTTACAGACACACCAACTCATCCACAGTGGCTTTAAAGCATACACCTGTGACTTGTGTGGAAAGTCTTTTACCCAGGCTGTTAGTTTAAAAAGACACCAACTCATCCACAGTGGAGTTAAAGCATACACCTGTGACTTGTGTGGAAAATCTTTTACCCTGGCTGGAAGCTTACGATCACACCAACTCATCCACAGTGGAGTTAAAGCATACCGCTGTGATCAGTGTGGCAGAGCTTTTACCCACAGTGGCCTCTTACAGCGTCATCAAGTTATCCACTCTGGATTTAAGGCGTACAGCTGCCACATATGTGGAAAAACCTTCCACTTGCTAGGCAGCCTAAATATTCACCTCCGCATTCACACTGGAAATGACGTTTACTGCTGTGATCAGTGTGGGAAACCGTTTGTGAGATATAAAGACTTAGAACGCCACATGCTTACCCACACTGTGGGGAGACCTTATAAATGTGACCTGTGTGAGAAGACTTTTAAAGCGCCACGTTACCTTAAAATCCACCAACAGATCCACACCAGAAAGAAACTCTGCAAGTGCAGTTACTGTGAGGTATGTATGTATATTATTATCTTCTTATTTAAGACTGACTGTTTGGACCAACTCTTCTCATTAAATTGTGTTCGCATGTTAATAATTCTACTGGACTCAATGGCATCTACTGGAATTTTGAAAATGTCAGTAAAGAACATAATAAGTCATCAAACTAAAAACCATGATTACTGTAACTTTGCATCCATATTTGAGGATTTGCAGTTGCACTTTCATTCAAATATAATAAACACAATGGTGGAGAGGGAAACAAAGAGAAACTGGCTTCTTTTTCCACTATAACTATGTTCACAGGCCGTTCTAGTGTTTATCTGTCTTACACAGATAAACACAGATATCTGTCTTAAAATGTGTTCAATGTGCTGCCCATTGTGTTGGATTGTCAATGCAACCCTCTTCTCCCACTCTTCGCACACTGATAGCAACACCGCAGGAGAAATGCCAGCACAGGCATCCAGTATCCGTAGTTTCAGGTGCTGCACATCTCGTATCTTCACACCATAGATAATTGCCTTCAGATGACCCCAAACATAAAAGTCTAAGGGGGTCAGATTGGGAGACCTTGGGGGCCATTCAACTGGCCCACGACAACCAATCCACTTTCCAGGAAACTGTTCATCTAGTGATGCTCGGACCTGGCACCCATAATGTGGTGGTGCACCATCTTGCTGGAAAAACTCAGGGAACGTGCCAGCTTCAGTGCATAAAGAGGGAAACACATCATCATGTAGCAATTTCAAATATCCAGTGGCCTTGAGGTTTCCATTGATGAAGAATGGACCCACTATCGTTGTGCCCCATATACCGTGTTGGGAAGGTTACTTTTAAAATGTATTCCATTACAGATTACAGAATACATGCCCCAAAATGTATTCTGTAACGTATTCCGTTACGTTACTCAATGAGAGTAAAGTATTCTGAATACTTTGGATTGCTTAATATATTATCATGCTTTTTACAACTATGTGAATGTACTATTGCTGTGTGATTTATTACTGTTACTGAAGGTCTGCGGCTCTGAACCGTAGTAAAGGGACCTTTGACTAATATGGGTTCCGTGTCGGGCTCATAGCCGAAAAATAGCTTTACTTTTTTTTTGTGGGTCAACTTTTCTTGCGAGAGACAGAGAGAGGCGTTGAAAGGCTGCTCCAACAGAGCTTATTGTTTTGGAGGAAAACACGAACAGAGTGTACATTCGAGTCTTAATAGCTTACTTGCACACAATGCACCCGACCCCTATTGCGCCTCCTGCGGGTGGTGGGCCTGCGGGAGGATAGGCCCATGTCTCCTCTTCGGGCCTCATGGACTAAGGCACGGCCACCAGACACTCGCCCTCGGGCACCCTCCCCGGGCCTGGCTCCAGGGCGGGGCCCCGGTAACCCTATCCCGGGCAGGGTAAACTGTTCCCTCGATGTTCTTTTCATAAGGGTCTTATGAATCGCTCTTTGTCTGGTCCCTCACCCAGGACCAATTTGCCATGGGAGACCCTACCGGGGGGGCAAAAGCCCCCAGACAACATATCCCCTGGGATCCCTGGGACACACAAACCCCTCCACCACGATAAGGTAGCGATTCAAGGAGGAGATTTTCCAATTGGCTAAAAATTACAGGGGAGAGGGATGCTGCTAGCTAGCCAGTCCTGTATAATATGGCCTTAAAGCGAGCAAAAAAAGGTAATTCCTGGACTTTTATGCCAATTTGGACAGAAGACTGGGGTTTTGTGCAACAGAAAGATCATGCTATATGTGCCCTTTGCCTTGAGAGTGTTGGTTGCCAGACCTCCAATGTTAAACAACAGTTTGAGATGAAAGATCAAGAAGCTTCAAGTATGAGGCAGAGAAAGTTGAATCAATTACACGTGCTGTGTCAAGATATGAGAAGCAAGCAAGTACTCTTGCACATTTTTACAGCTGCTAAACATCATGGACCATAAGTAAGTTTTCGTATTGGGCAGTGCATTGCTAAACATGGAGAGCTGTTTACAGACGGAGAATTTATTAAGGAGGCTTTTCTCTCAAGCTCAGAGATGTTATTTAATGGGCTTCCAAACAAAGATGCAATTAAAGCAAGGATTCAAGACATACCTGCATCAGCCAGAACTGTGGAATGATACATCCAGGAAATAGGTAACAATGTCAGAGCCCAACAAACAGCTGCTTTGAAAGAAGCCCAGGTGTTTAGTGTAGCTTTGGACAAAAGCGTTGATATCAGTGAGGTTCCACGTTTGGCTGTTCTGGTAAGATCCTGTGATGTGGAAGTACAAGAGGAACTCTTCTGCTTAACCCGATGCCTGAAAACGTGTGGGGTGTGGTGAGGCGTAGTCGGCGACGCCGTGCAGGTCTGCAATCACGTCCGCCGTGTGAAAACACGCTCTAAATGATGATCTGTGGTCCCGCCGTGCCTTATTCACACCACGTGAGGGTATTGGCAAGGTTTTTAAGGAGTGTTTTGATGAGCGAGGCATTGGCATTACATTGTGCTGTGACAAATAATGATGCACCAGCCATTGCTGGAAAACACAGGGGTGCTGTTACCTTAATTGAGGAACAAGTTGGTCATCTCATCATTAAACAACACTGAATAAAAGAGTTAGAAAACCTTTGTGCCAAGATGTCAAATTCAGATCTTCATGACGCCATGGCCACAGTGGCAAAAATCGTGAACTTTATCGTTAAGCGATCTGCTTTGACACCGCCAATTCCAGTCTGTGCTCGAGGAGATGGATAGCTCATGCATAGACATCCCACTCCACTGTGCTATCAGATGGCATAGCTGTGGAAATGTTCTGGAACGATTTGTGGATTGTTTTGATGTGGTTAAAGAAAATCCTGGCAGAAAAGGTGCAAAGCCGTCCGAAGTCAGAGACGAGAATTGGGTTGAAAAACGGGACACTTCAGCGAGTTACAAAATGTGATCCCCAGATAATACAACTGGCAAATACAAAGCAGGGGCAGGGATCACATTAACCTGCAAATCCCTGAATTAAGAAAAGTCATATATGCCCAGTTTACTTTTTTCTTATCATTGTTTTACCATCTGCATTTTCTGTTGTATATTTCCTTTGCTGTTATGGTTAAATGTTATGTTATGGATAAAAAGTGTTTTTTGAAATATAGCAAATATAGTTCTATAAAGTTGTTCTGTATAGTGTGCAACTGTTGATATGCAGCATTATTAAATTTATTGTTAATGCAATTATTGCGATGACACATTGACTTTTGAGGAAATTTTAGATGCCACTCATCATCAGAAAGGTTGCCTACGCCTGCTCTACAACAAAGACCTATTGAGTCTCAGTACCAGGTCACTTTACTCTAGCATGCAAAGTGCTTTACCGTGTTGTATAAAGCACTTTGAGTGCTCAGGCAGAGTAAAAAAGTGCTTTATAAGAATCAATCCATTTTACTTGTATTTACTAACTGAACAACAGGAGGGTCATCTAACTAAAACCAATCAGTGTATCCCACCTGACCCCCTCAGAATCAGCTTACTTTTAATAGTTTGTGAGTTTTATTTAAATGTCCTCAAAGTATGGTGAGAGTCTGTCTGCAGACAGGGTACCAGTGCTTGTTGCTGTTCCTCTACATCAAAGACATTTATTGTATCCCATTAAGCTGAGTGTTATAATGAAAACAGTAAAGTGTAATTGGACATTGGCAGAGATGCTCTTTATTTCAGGCGACTTTCAGAATTAAAATGTTGAAGGAATTCCCTGACTTACACTGTCTTTGTGTCTTTGTTTAGAAGCAGAGTGACACAGATGGA